GTTCGCACCAGATGAGGGTAGGTACTCATTAAAAACATATTCATACCTAGTGGGGGTAGGTACCCACAAGAGTCTAGTGAAATGCAGACTCATACCTAGTGAGGGTAAGTACTCACCAGAGCCTTATAAAAGAAGGCTCAAACCAGATAGGGGTTGGTACCTATCAAAAATATTTATCATCCGGAGGATCAGCAAACTTCAAGTGAAGGAGCATCTGAAGGATAACCGGGCAAAAAGGGTTAACTCCTTCCCCTACCAACTAACTTTGTCGGCATATTAGGCCAACAATTAGTCAGGCAGGTGAAGGGGGGGCAGCTGTAGACCCCTAATTTTGCCCGGCCTCTCAATAAAGGCTAAGGAGACTTCCTATAACAAGATAAAGCTTGCCCGACATCTCAATATAGGCCAAGAAGACTTCCTATATGAAGATAAAGCTTCAATGGACGTCTATCGGCATCAATCGACGTCCGAATAAAGAAAGGAAAGCTTCCCGGGGGTCCCAAAACACAAAATCTGGCAAAAATAGTCGAGATGGCCATCCCAGAAGTTGGGACGGCCGTCCCAGAAGCCCAGACGGCCGTCCCAAGTTCTAGACGGCCGTCCCAACTTGTTTTGATGCTTGGGATGGCCGTCCCAAATCCCAAACAGCCGTCCCAACTTCCCCAGACGACCATCCCTGTTTTCCAAGCTCTAGACGGCCGTCCTGAAGTGCCAGGCTGTGAAAACTATAAATAGGAGGCTCATTTGCCACTTTTTCACACTCCAGACAACTCCAGACACTTGTCTTCTCTCCCTACTTCGAATGAACTCTCCGATTGCCTTAAAAAGGTAACAATCGGTTAAGGAATTGTATTCCATCATTCGATTCTTCTTTAAAATTTAGTAGAGTCGATATTGTATTCGGGGAGGAGAGTCTTTATAGAGCGGGGGATTGCCAAAATACATCCTCACAGTTCAAGATTTGTAATACAAAACTTGCTACGGAGGTTCTTTTCACTTTTCTTCTCTTTTATTGCTTTATTTATTGCTTTATGTATGCAATATGAAATAAAGTCATGTAAATAGTCATTTTTTAATATTATGCAATAAAATAGGGTAATCGCGTAATTTCTCATAATCTTTGCTTAATGAATTAATCCGTCATAGGGAACCCGAAAGGGGCGTTGTGGGGTGCTAACACCTTCCCCACACGTAACTAACTCTCTTACCTAATTCTGGTTATAATGGCCAAGTTTGGTTTTTATTAAAATCAACGCCTTTTTTATCCTTTTCCAATGTTTACGGTCAAAACATTGGTGGCGACTCCATAAGAACCCCTTTTCGAAAACCTTGCTTTTATTAGAGGATAGTTCAGTTGTTGAGCACCTCGGAATCAATGAACATATTTTAACATAAAACGCGAGTCTAAACCATCTTTTTGCGACCGCTCGCATAAACGTTCGAGATGTCCCTAGACGTCGGAACGGACGATGGCGACAAGTATTTATGGATGATTTTACTGTGTATGGATCCTCTTTTGATACATGTCTGCATAGTTTGGATAGAGTATTTCATAGATGCATTGAAACTAACCTTGTTCTTAATTTTGAGAAATGTCATTTCATGGTTGAGTAGGGTATAATTTTAGGGCATATCATTTCCAATAAGGGCATAGAAGTAGATCCTGCCAAAATATCTATTATTTCACAGCTACCTTACCCCTCTTACGTGCGAGAGGTTCGTTCTTTTCTTGGTCATGTAGGATTCTACAGGCGCTTTATCAAAAATTTCAGTAAGAAAGCCCTACCACTATCCAACTTGTTGTAGAAGGATGTTGATTTTATCTTTGATGAAAGGTGCAAGGAGGCCTTTGACTGCCTCAAGAGTGCTCTGACCACCACTCCTATCATTCAGGCACCAGATTGGACAACCCCCTTCGAGTTAATGTGTGATGCATCAAACTATGCACTGGGTGCTGTCTTGGCTCAAAAAGTGGATAAGCTGCCTAGAGTCATCTACTATGCTTCTAGGACTTTAGATGCTGCCCAAGCTAACTACACCACCACCAAGAAAGAGATATTGACCATTGTTTTTGCTTTGGATAAATTTAGGTCATATTTGCTTGGTTCTCAAGTTATTGTGTTCACTGACCATGTAGCTCTGAAGTACCTATTAAAGAAGGCTGAATCGAAGTCTCGACTGATTGGGTGGATGCTATGGCTCCAGGAGTTTGATTTAGATATCCGTGACAGGAGCGGAGCCCAAAAATTTGGTAGTAGACCATCTTAGAAGGATTGAGAACGATGAGGCTCATGGTGATGTTTTGCCTATCCGGGATGACTTTCCTGATGAAAATTTGTTTGTTATATCCAACTCTTTCCTCACCCCTTGGTTCGCAAACATTGTAAATTATTTAGTTGCTTCTGTTTTTCCTCCCATGTCATCTAGAGCGCACAATGATAAGCTTAAGAGCGATGCTAAGTATTATATATGGGATGACCCCTATGTGTGGAAGTTGTGCAGTGACCAGGTAATTAGGAGATGCATACCAAAGCAGGAGATTGACTTGGTCCTGAAATTTTGTCATTCTTCTACAATCGGTGGTCATCTTGGCATTCAGAGGACAACTTGTAAGGTGCTTGATTGTGGTTTCTACTGGCCCACCATCTTCAAGGATGCATAGAGGATTTGCATCACTTGTGAGCAATGTCAAAGAGCAGGAGGATTCCTTACATGGAGATAGCAGATGCCCTATCAACCCATGTTATTTTGTGAGGTGTTTGATGTATGGGGTATTGATTTCATGGGTCCTTTCCCTGTTTCTTTTGGTTTTTATTTTATTATCGTTGCAGTTGACTATGTTTCAAAATGAGTGGAAGCCAAAGCCACTAGGACTAATGATGATCAGGTTGTTGTGGATTTTGTTAGATTTAACATCTTTTGCTAGTTTGGAGTACCCAGAGCCATTGTTAGTGATCAAGGTACCAATTTCTGTAACAGGTCTATGCAGGTGTTGCTAAAAAAGTATGGGGTTGTTCACAGAGTTTCTACACCTTACCACCCCAAAACTAATGGGCAGGATGAAATCTCAAACAGGGATATCAAGAGGATTTTAGAGAAGATTGTCCAGCTGAGCAGAAAGGACTGGAGCAACAGACTGGAGGATGCTTTTTGGGCGCATAGGG